ATGATAAATAGACTGAACTGAAGCACTTTTCTTCCTCAGCTGTTGAGGTAGAAAAGTACTGTAGAAAAGTAGATTGTGCTTTATAGTTTGCTTTACAGCCACAGCCACTCTGCTGGTAAACATTGTTCATGTCAGCACGATAGCGTGATGACGACAACATTAAACTCCAAGCACCGCTCTGTCTGTCTTGTTCGCCTGTACACAAAAGTAAAAAATTTCATGTGCGCGCTGCCATGACATTTGCCAAAACTTTAGGCAAAGACGTCTCATAGTTTGGTTTGATATTAATATATTTCCAAGCAAAGTCATGCTACTAAAAGGGATAATCATTTGGATTTTAAGACCCAAAACACTTTAGCACCACTCTCATGACAAATGTAACATTTTCAGCCCTTCTATGAAGAACTCAGAGAACAGGAGGGTCAACAGTATGCTGTTCAATCAATACAATATGTTAACATGGAGCCTCTAATGGGTACTAGCAGGGCTTTTTACTTTGAGTCTTGTTACTACATGCAATCTGATTTCCAAATAAAAGTCTCAAATATATTGCATGATCTTAGTTATTTGGTAGATATTGCATCAAAGCCTCTGAGTCCTCGCCAAACCCTTGTAGGTTAATGAGGATCAGTGCATTTTTATGTACACACAGCACATAGAAATAAATATTTGTTTGCATCTGCCCAATAATTCCATTAAATTTTCTGGGTTTTTTTTTCTACTTTTATTTCATAAGCAATTTATCTCTGGCAGTTGTTACATTAAAGCCCCTGCACAAACGCAGAAAGAGAGACAAATAGAGAGCAGGGAAAGAGGGGAAAAAAGTAAGTGATTATGGCTTGCCATGCTATCAGCATATTTGGCAGAGAAATGCAGATTAGCTTGCTTGTGATCAACAGACATCTGCACTGGAGACAATTGGAAATAATTTAACTACAGAATTGCATTTAGCTCGAGGAAGAAAGGAGAATAATCCCAAAACAACAACATAAACTACCTTGGTTCATTAGCAGAATAATAGAGCTCCATTTTAACCTGGAGATAAGGGCTGGAAGACGGATGTAGCCACAGGGTGTGTGTGTATGTGTGTATGCAAGTGCAAGTGTGGGTGTCTGGGTTTTTCATAAGTGTGCCTGTGTGCAGCTAATTAGTATCTGTCATTCAGCAGGCTAGTCACCTGACTTTAACTTTAATTATAGTTCTTTTCCAAGTCTTCAGCCTTGAGTCATGCAACACACAAACACACATTGTTAGTGCTTGGCTGCTGGGTGCATTTCTTGACAATGGTTGCCTCAGGCCTGAGCTGATCCAAAACCACTTAATGCTGAGTCCTAATCTAACCTTAGTTAGAATTCATCTTAACCTGTCAAAGATGGTCCAGACTGTGGCCCTGCTCAATACAACTGTCAAACTCACTCAAAGCAAACTTTGGAAGAGAAATAGTCAACGCAGTAACAGAATCTTGAACCATATTTGACCAGCACTGCCTAGTTTGACAGTTTGATCTGAGTTTGGTGCGTTGAGCTGGACAGACTCACTGAGAATGACCTGTCAATCACAAGGTAGCCAAGCCCTAAAGCATACCCTGCTGTATGGTCTATTTTACTCTAAATGGGACTATCATTTACTAAATGAACATCAGGCTGTATGGAAGAAGACTGAAACTAGAGATTGAGAACATAAACTCATTAGGAAACTGTTTACTGAGCTAATACATCAAAAGAGAAGTGGGGTCATTTCTCCATAAGACTGCATAGTATCAGTTTTTATTGCAGCCAATGGAGCTGCCCCCTGCTAGCCATTACACAGAATGCAAGTTTAAGACACTTCCACATTGGCTTCAATTCACAGACCTGGAAGCTCTGTCCATTATATATACTGTCAATGATGCTGTCACATTGAATTTAAGGCTACAAACTGCACAAGATTATAGGTTCAATTTTAGTGATCACTGTGTGCCTTGTTTAACACTAGAATACTTTTAAGGACCAATGTTTAGGATTAAGTGACATCTAGCAATGAATAGGGTTTGAAATCAAAAACCGCTTCCAGTTAGGAATCGGTTCCAAATTGGAAGTGTATGCCTGCGAGATTATCTGTTCCTTAATCGATGCAGGGAGGTTTTTTCTGACAGCCACATATTGCAAACAATGAGGTCAAACTTACACATCTGGAAATAACAGATTTTTTTCTTTGACTAAGAAAATAAAAATAGTCTCTCATTTTATCCTTTTTAGATGATTACAGACAGATGGTTGCAACCGTTAACTCTCAGGCTACAGCCTTTATTCTGCTGTTTCTACACTGGGTTCAGATTCAGAGAGTGCTATAGTGAAGATTTGTCGAGTCCAGGAGTCCGAGACCTAGTTGAAGCAGAGTCAAGACCCAGTCCACAGAGGTCATGTCATGTCGAAGTACAAATTAGAGAGACAGTCAACATAGAAAAAAGAATGCTTTTGCTTTTCCAATGAGATGAGTTTTGGCAGCCAGGCATTCTGAAATGACACTAATCAGCCAATATCAACCCGTTCCAGATGAATTTTGAATTAAACCTTCATGTACTGTTTTGTTTTGAAGGAGGACGTTACTTCAGAAAAAAAAATACATATGTTGCTGGACTCAAGTAAAGTCTGAAACAACAGAAAAATGGCCTCAAGTCTGGATTTGAGTATTAAAGCACTGTTCAGAGATAATACAATAGATGTGTTGATGCTGAAAACCTGTGTGGGCCTACTTTTTTTCCACACAGAAAACTGATCCGGAATCAGTAAGGGAATTAATAAAGAATAAGCCAACCAATAAGCAGAATCAACAATGGCATTGGTATCAACCAATTTCCTTCCTTGGTTAAGTTGCAGATTGCTTGGGCTACTGTAGGAACATGGCGGTTTAACATGGCATACTCTGAAACACAACAATTATTATTATACACAAATAAAAAGATACCTATGAATATTATATTCCATTTCTGCCAGTAGATCCTCCTACATGTTACACACTGGAGCTTTAAATATGCAAAAGGAAATACAAAGCAGTTTAATAAACCAAGAAATACTTTTGGTTTTGTGACATTTAAGAAAAGTTGACTTGTCATGTGATGCTGAAATGTAAAATTTCTGGCATATTTCTAAAGTTATGTGTGTGAAAACACACTTCAGAGGGAAAACTACATGTATAGTAACATGGCCTTTGTATGTTTCTGCTTATTTACATGGCAGTTCAGCAAGAACCCTGAAAAAGCAACAGAGACTGAGAAACATCCAGATGCTTGCCTTTCAGCCTTAAAAACCTGTTGTAATTCATAAGGGAGTAGTGGAAGCTACATCTGTTTCTTCATCTGTCATCTTCCTGTTGATTTCACACCATGGTTTGTCTCCATTAGGAACAACAACAAATAAGAAATTGAAGTTACGGTCGTAGAAGACAAATGACTTCTTCTTTGAGCCACTGCCTGTTATTTTCTTCTCTTAGTGTGTCCCTTTTTTCCCTCTTCCTCCCCCTCCCTACCACTCAGCTGACATCCCATAATTTCCCTGTGGGCTGATGGCTGAGTGTGGGTGTGGATGGGCGGATTGGGAGAGTGAGGGAGAGAGAAAGTGAGGGGTCATGAGTGAGAGACAGAATAAGAAACAGTCACTAAGGTAGAAAAAAGGGGAGAATTAGTAGAGAACTGATGTCATTCCGAGTGTGCTCATTACACATGTTAAAAGCTTTTCACCGGCCTGCTGTCTCAGTTCCTCTCATCTTACTTGATTCTGCTTGCGCTTCAGCAAAAAAAGAGATATATTTTATCCCCGCGCTGTTTAGATTATGTTTACACACTTGAGTCAAAATGCATACATAAAGATAGATAGAAACTGATTTAGCGGTGAATGCGTGGCAATGTGGTTGAATTCAGATATCAATATATGTAACAATATGGCACATGTATGCCAAATCACAGATAACATAATGAAACTAAAGTTCAATGTAACATTCTCCATTGTTATGCATTACCATCAATACCATGTAAGTATATTCCAATCCAATCCAACTTTATTTGTTAAGCACTTTAAAAATAAGCTATAAGCTTTGATAAAGCTTATAGTTAGGGCTGGATCAGGTGAGTCCTGAACCATCCCTTAGTTATGCTGCTATAGGCCTAGACTATCGGGGGATTTCCCATGGTGCACTGAGCTCCTCCCTTCCTCTCTCTTTCTGCACTCATTCATGTCCCCTTAATGCATGTTACTAACTTCACTTCTTCCCCGGAGTTCTTGTGCTTTCTCGTCTTGCAGGTTCTTGTCGATCCTGGTGGAGCCTCCTGCCATGGTCCTGCTAGATTGCCATTGCCAATACTGTGGTTGCTGTGCACCTGTCTGTCTGTCTCTCGCTCTCTCTCTCTCTCTCTCTCTCTCTCTCTCTCTCACCCCAACTGGTCGAGACAGACGACCACCCTCCTAGAGCCGGAGGATTTGTCCTAGGTTTCTGCCTTTTAACAGGCAGTTTTTCCTTGCCCTTGTCGCCAAGTGCTTGCTCATGGTGGTACTGTTGGGTCTCTGTAATTAATGTTTTAAAGAGTTCGGTCTAGACCTGCTCTATTTGAAAAGTTATATACAAATAAAGCTATACAAATAAAATTGAATTGAATTGAATTGAATTGAATTGAATTAAAAAGTGCTGTACAGGAGAATAAATAAGACATCATAAATGTAAACATTGATGGTGATGATGAAGACCACTGTGAGGAAGATAGACAGTGATGGCGATAACACTGGAAAGTTCCCGTGGCAGATAACATGGACGAAGTCCGACGGTGATGAGCTCGATGTCCGGGCTGCAGACGCTCTTTCACACAGTCGTGCCCGGCGTTACACCACCTGTTGTTTATGAACACGGACAGTCCCCCTCCTTTCTTCCTGCCGGTCCCGGTGGTGTCCCTGTCGGCTCGAACCGTCTGGAAGCCGGGAATGGTGACGTTGGAGTCCGGTATCTGCTCATGTAGCCATGTTTGTTTAAACCTCCTCTTCTTCATCCTCCGTTTAACCCCCGCTCTGCAGCCTCGCCGTCTCCTCCTCAGCTCCTCCGGTATGGAAGGTCTCTCTCCAGTCAGGATACTAGGGTACCTCAGGGCGATCATCTGGTCGCGGGTGTAAACAATGTGACTCGCCGTCGCCATGGAGACCCGTGCAAACAAAAAATAAAAAGTGCTCAAAAACGTCAAAAAATTATTTAGGCAACGTGAACAAAGTAGTAAGAAAGTAAGAAAAGAGTTAAAAATAGCTAAAAAAAACACTGAAAACACACTAAAACTACAACAATGATAGGAGCTGCCATGACAGGCTGCTGTTGTCGCCAGCGCCATTCCATGGCTATATTAAGTGAATATCATATAAAGTGCATTTACCTATATTTAAAACAAAAACTGTTTTCAATTAAAATTTTCTTTGAATTACTAATTTGGACAAAATAATTTTGCAACAGCAACACAGAGAGTAGGGGTGTTAAAATTTACCAATGCAAGTCGGAAATCGGTTTAACTGATCATAGCCTGAGTTTTCTTACCTTAAACCAGCTGAGGTTTACTCATCTGCTTTTAAAAGGCTTATTTATTTTCTATATAGTATTAAAAAAATGCAAGACGTTAGGCGTAGAGTACAGGCTGGACTTATTCTCTCCACCATGCTGTTTTGTGGAAAAACACCTGGAGGCCCAATGGCCCAGTCTGATATCCTGCTGGTCACAGTGAAAAGTTGGTAGCGAGAGCCACGGTGCCAATCCACCACCAGTCTTCCAGCAGGTCTCTGAGATGTTATACTAACCAATTTGTTACAAGCGTACAGCCTGTGGTAACTATTAGGTTGGGAGGCTGGCCTCCTGCAGTCTGCTTACAAGGATGGGTCTGGGCTGAAAAAAGTGTCACTGTCTGTTCCAACTGACACTGAGCCCAGTGTACCAAGGCGTCAAGCAAATATGATAAAAGTGGTGCCTTTCTGGAGAGTTAACATAGTTACAGGCACTTGGAGAGTGAAGATCTCTGCGTAGGCCAATAGTGCAGTCTTCCAAGATATGCAAATTTGCACACTAATCATGACCAGTTTGTGGATGTGGGACCTTCTTTTTGGAACCCTTCAAGCCCACCAAGCATTATTAATTTGGGCCAATGGTTTTTCTGTCATCCTGCTGACAGACATGCAAACAGCACTGAAAACATATACTCTTTGGCAGAGGTAACATTTTTAGTTATTTTCTCAAAAGGAGGACAAATGAGTGTCCAGCTTAAGGTTGCGCCTGCAGCCGGACAGGGCATTTAAAAGCCGGACGAATGGCCACCCTAGTAACATTAGATGCAGAAATTTGACATCCTACACTTTCAGCAACAATGCCTTAAAAAGCAAATCATGTATGTCCCGAAAATATAAAAATTAAAGAAATTAAAAAAATAGGGGCATTTCTGCAGTGGGCTTTCAGTGGCCGACCACTGTTTCTAGGCCAAACAAAGCTAAAGTTAGCTCATTTTCAGCAAGCTAATCTTGCTGTAGCTCAGTTAAACAGCAACATTTTAAATATAAGGAACCATACAGGATGGGGCTTACCTCAGTTTGCATCATTAAGATGGTCAAGAATTGGTCGTGTATCACCTGTAGTCCTTGTCCTCCTCTCCTCTGCTCCTCCCTCTCATTGAGCTGTAAACCTGCAAATTCGACATATCACACACACACACACACACACATTAACATAGAAATGTATGAAAACATTTGCATGCAGTAATCCCTTGCACCAACATATTCATTTCTGTACAGACACGCACAGTTACAACTTCAACTGTGGACGCAGGACAGTCCTAAAATCAAATGTTTGATTTTCGGCTTTCATTATATTAGCAGGATAAAACAAATCTACCACTGAGTGTCCTACCATCTGCTTCACCTTCAGTCTGTTCTGTCTTTTCTGCCTGGTAAGGAGCACTCATCAGTTCTATGGGTACTTTACTTTTTCATTATATAGTAGGAGCAGTATCTGTATTTGCTCTGTTTGAATTTGATACATTCAGCCAGAGCAAAGTATCAAGTATCTCTTATTGGATACTGGATAGTTGGCAATGGAAATGAAAACAGTCTCAAACTGCTGATGAATAAGGAATGCCGTATTGAAACAAGATAGATTTCTTGATGTTATTCTCAAAAAAATGTGAAGGATGAAAGAGCTAACTTTGAATTTAATGCACACACTGATGGAATTGTAAATCAAGAAGCTTTTTGAATCAATAGGGTCTTAACCTACATAAAAGGTCAGTGCAGTGAGAGTGATGTCATGTCACATCATGCATACACTGTAAACCCTAATAAGTTCACAGAACTCAAAAGATTTTGTCTAAGAGATTACCCAACAATATTTTAGTGATGTTTTTAAAATTTTTAAGTTTACATAAAATGAAAATTACATTTACAGTTGACTTAAATTATCTCAATGTTATCTTATAAATATTGATATTCCCCAACTTAAAATTAGGGAGTAATTCACTCAGAATTCTCAATATTTTTCAACTCATATAATTGGGAATCAAAATTTTCAATATTTTCAACTCATAATGTGGGACATGCACTCAAAATTAATTCCAAACTGAAATACTGATGTCGGCCCACTACACAATTACAATCAGCTAATAATGTTAGAAAACATGAAAGTGACACCACAGTGACAATTTAACAACTTTTTTTATTCAACATGTGCTTTTTAAAAGGCATCTTAAATCTGAGGTAGAACAGGCAAATGATTACATTTGTAAAGAGGGAAAAAAAACAAAAAACTTCCTCAATACTCAGCTCAACAAATAGTCCATTCTGAGTGATTCACTCATTGAACAAATCATTCTTCAGCGTCAGCAGACGCCCTTTCAGTGGTTTGTTGTCCTCAAGACACATCACAACTTTTTGGATGAATGTGAATGTAAGCTCGAGATTCTTTGGGTACTGTAGGTCTAGTGCATAGACGTACCCAAAGAGCAGGAGAAATGAGTCAGCCAGATTTGTGGGACCACTCACAAGTATTTCATCCTCCACGACAATACAGATGCTCTCAGGGCTGAAGAGGGCCGCATCAGTAGTGTCATCCGTGGCGACTGTCAGGAGAGCCACCGGAGTGTCAGTGAGGTCTGGACCATCTGCTGACTACAAAACACAAATAATACAAGAATGAGTTCAGCCCCTCAAGGATACAAATCATGCTAATGATGTCTAGACATTACTGCCACTTAGCACTTAGACTGCAACTAAGCTACATGTTTAAACTATTTTCTTTACATATGCTTATATCTTATGTTAGTTTCACACCTATCTGTTAGCATACTTTTTGTTTAGTGGAATGCTTTATACTTACCTTTTCATTTATGTAATTTCTACATGTCAGTTTGCAGAATAAGAACTCTAGTAATCTTCATAAACAGGTCCTGGGGGGTGTTCCAGAAAGGAGGTTCAACAAACTCTGAGCCTAACCCTGAACTCTGAGTTGACTTACCCTGTGAAGTGAAACTCTGAGTTTTCGGTTCCAGAACAGCTGATCTGAGTTAGGTAAGTCGACTCTGATTATGTTAACTCTGAGTTGAGCTCGTGCCTGACGACTAGTATAAAGCCATCATCAGTGGAGCTCCGATACTGTGATTCACCATGGCAACGGGAGAAAACAGGAAACAGACATTTTCTGGCTGCAGCCGTAATAAAAATCTGTTTTTTTGTTTTTTTTTTTTTGAGTTCTTTGAGTGATGTCATATGTTTAAGCTGACTTAATAGCTAGGCAAAGTGATTGATAGTGAGGCCAGTACACTTACATTACAGGTCCTGAAGAACTTGGAGGCATCTTCACGCAGGTACACAGGAAGTGCACGAAGGACGAGGGCCCGTCTCGTATTTACATCAGGTTTTTCCTAGATGGACAAAAAATATCCATTACAATAGTAATTAAACAAATGCAGAGCAAACACTTAAAAAAAAATCAAAGTGTTAAATAGCTCCATATTCTGATGGTGGTCATTGCTATCGATGGTCGATTCAGTATTTTGGGTCACCATTTCTTAAATTAATTAATTTTTTTAATTAATAACTTTCTATTGTAAATACTTAAATAACTCACAAAGGAAAAAAAAAACAGTAGTTAATTGGACTACTACTACAAACTGAAGCTGATAAAGTATCTTTTTAAGAATATATCTTGTGAAGACGTTTATTTCTGATGAGATGACAATGTTGTGTTCATGGCATAATCACTTAACCTCGGGGCACAGTCGAGGCAATTCACACTATGGCTTCTTACAGTTGTCTGCAAACAATCTGTTTCTGAGTCATGCAAAGTTAAAAATTCACCTGAAGGTCATAAATCCTCATGAGCTTGGCTAGCTCCTCCGCTATCTTGCCAGTCTTGGTGGCCTTGTCTCTGAACAAGGTGATGAGTTTAGGCGTGTGTCTGTCCAGCTCCTTGTAGAATTGATTGCGCAGGTTAACGTTGTTGATTCGGTGGAACTCTGCAAACACCTGTACATGGACAGAATTACGCAGAAGTGTACAAAGATGAATGAGGAACAGAATTGTGAATGTATTTTAAGTTTTCAGTTGGCAGGTAGCAAAACCAAGTGCAATTCTATTAGGGATGAGTCAGAACCAAGGTCAAAATAGAAAGTTCATTGTCATTCTTTAATTTAAAACAGGCTGTATAATGTTATCTAAAGGAAATTAAAATAATAAACCTCTGTATACTTTGTTTACAGTGATTGGCAAAAATATGTCACAGCGTGATGTGTTGTCAACTTTTACATCTGCCATTTGCTTTTTGGTGAATTTTTTGAAAATGTAATTTTTAAAACAGTCATTTAAATATTGGAAAAATCAATCATGTTCAAAGTGGGCATGCTAAAGTCATATTGATTAATGGGTCTCAACAGGGAGAACAGTAAAATAATAAAAGATTTTTTATTTATTTTTTTACCTGTGACTCCATAAGTAGGGCTGGCCATCTGTCCACGACGTCTCTCACCTGAGGAGCTACAAGAGCTCCAACGATTTCTTGGCGATGAAGGGCATAGGTTGTGTTCAT